TTTTTTTTTTTTTTTTTGGTTCAATAAATTGTAAAAAAAAAAACAAAAAAACCCCCTCGGATCTGGTGATTCCTCCGTGTGCGGGGGGAGGGTCTGGCTGCCCCCCCCCTTTCTCGGGCCCGATCCGCCAAGCACCATCTGCCCCCGGCCCGCCCTTACCCAGACCAGATTCATCCCGTGTGGACAAAGCCCGGCCATCGCGGGGCAAGATCGACAGGATCGGAGCTCCAAGCGGCGAGGGGGCGGTGCACGGAGTTTTTCCAGCTCTAAGCTTAGGGCTGAGCATTTAAGGGCTGCAGCGGTAGACCTACAAAAATTGGCCAGAGGGTGCTGGGGGCAGGGGGGCAGCCTACCCTAGGGTGGCAGTGGGTGGAAACACCATCCTGCAGCACCATCCCCCCACCTGGTCCAAGGGGTGGGGGCTGGGTGGGAGAAAGGGAGTCCACTGCAGGCAGTTTCCTGGCCTCCCGGGAACTTTTTTTTCACCCTGCTCCAGAAGACTTGGCTCCTAGCGTCTATCACTTGTAGGCTGCACCCCTGCTGTCCACAGGGACAACCATCGAGCCACAGCTCAGCACCAGGAGGGAGAAAGGAGAATAGAGCTCTTCCATTCTTTGAGCAGTGGCAAAATTACAGCACAATTTAAGTTGTGCTTCAGCATATGCCCCCCACACCTGTAAGAAGCTAGAGCCTTTGGTGCAGGCTGGGGAGGCTGTAGCAAAAGCCAGGTAGCAAGTACCAGGTACCAGCCACCCCTTCCTTTCCTTTTTAAAGCTGCAAGAAGTCAGGGTCTTCTTCCCATACAGCCAAGACCAAGGCCCCATCTCTATTTTTTTGCATCAGGGCTCAATAGTTGTTGTTCCTAATTAGGGGATTGCCCTCTAGTCCCCTGCTTTAAGCACACCGACCCAGCAGGCCTCACACTTGCTGGGATGCTCTTTCTTCTACTGGCATCCAAGGCCCTGGTCTCTCACGGCTACCTGTGCAGAGTTCCTTGCGCTGGCCAGCCCCCTTGGGAGCTGCTGCATCCTTCCTGCTTTGACAGCACCTGGCAGCCACGGTGTCCTCACTTGGCACAGAAGGAGAACCCAAGAGGGTTGCATCTCAGATGATGCTCAAGCTTCCCCATCCCAGCCACCCCTGACAACACAACCGCCCTGGGCCCTAGGGCAGTGGCTTCAGCCTCCCCCTTGAAAACAGTTGGTCCATGGTTTCCCAGAAAGCAGCTGGAGCCCAGGTAAGAGTGTCAGCTCACCCTGTCATGACCAGGCCTGAGACCACACCGACAAGATGGGGGAGGGCAGGTCCTTCACCTGGCGATGTGAGTAAAGCAAGATGAGGGCAGGGAGTTGTTGCCCCCTCTGAATCCACCCATGCCAGCAGGCAGCAGCACTCCACAGTGGGTTTCAAAGGGCTGGGAAGAGAATCATGTCCTGCCCTTACTGCTCTCGAGGTAGGCTAGGCTGGGCTGGGCTGGGCTGGGGGAACGACTAGAGCAGCAGTACACCAAACCCAGGTCTGTCAGTGCAGGGATGATAGAGGGTTGTGGACTTTTACCTTGAATGCCATTCTATTAGTACACCTGACCCATTAATGAGATGTCTGGGAAAAACAGGTGGGGAAGCTTCTTGGGGCACAGGCTGCTTGGATTTGCAGTCCTTCCCTACCATCCGTACTCTCTGGAAATTAATGCTGTAGCACAGCTGCCAGAAGGGGAGCCATTGAGCTAGTTCTGCTTCACTCCTCCCAAGATGAAGGTAAACAGGCGAAGCAGGCTGCATTCAGAGGCTGTTTAGGGAAACAGCCATCAAGGTTTAACCGCCTCCGGCTTTGCTTCCCATGGATCCTGCGGAGGTCTCCAATGCCCAGCACTTGCAGCCAGGCTGGTCAGGAGCAACTATGGTTGTTTGGAGAGATTATCATTATAAACGCTGCATTATCTTAGTCCAAATTAGACTTTCCTAGGCCTGTAGGAGCCAGAAGGAACAGTGGCGAGATCAGGCCCTTGGCATGTACTGCTGTGAAATACAAGGTACTGGGCTAGCTGGACCCCTGGTCTGCCTGCGGGTGGCACTTATGTTCAAGAATATGATCCAAAAACCATTGTCCCACTGGCGGAGACTGATCAAACCCATTCTGTTCTCCTGCTATGGAGCCTACAGCTAATAAAGATGACATGCAAAAAAAGGTAGAAGAGGCCTGTAGGAAGCAAAAGACTACACTAGAAGTGATGCATGCTGCTAGGCTGTTTGAGTCCTGAGTTTCCAACATAACCTGGAGTGCAAACACTACATTATACGGATTTTCAGCTGGGCCATTAGAAGCTCTGCAGTCAGATGGGGGTGGGAATGGGGCAGCTGCACCAATTAAAAAGAGAAGCCGTCTCCCACAGCTCAGCTCACCTGTTAGGCCTTCTCAGTCTATGTTGTTATGCAAAAGCCTTTGTGCAACCCCTGCACAAAAAGGCAGCATATTACTAGCAAGACTAAGTAGCTTTGAGATTTGGAGCTGGCATCTCATCTGCAGACCACTGCTTCAAAAATCTAGTGATCAATCACAGCTGGAACTAGGCACCTGATGAGAGGCTAGGGACTCCTCAAAAAAAACAAAAAAAAAAACAAAAAACAACCCAGTAACTGAAGCAACCTAGTACTTAATCCATGAACTGGGACCAATTTCTATAGCCCAGCCAGCCCGCTCTCTGCCCTTCGCAGCCCTGTACAAATGCATCTCTCTCAAATAGATAAGCAGCAGGAGAGCAGCTAGCCACAACAGGACAGTGCCTTGGTTTCTCCACACACACTTGTCACTCTCCTCCCCCTCCAGTGCCTATCATAAGGCAGGGCCCCATTCTGGTTACATAAAAGACTTCCAATGGTATCAGTGGGCTTTGGAGCAGGCCCCTGTGCTTGGGAACAGCCAGACTTCTCTTGCTGGCAACCTGAGGTGACTCTTACAAGGGAGGGTAGGACTGGGATGACTTGGTCTTAGTTGCGTACAGAAGCCAGACCTGCAGATCATGGCTGTCTGTAGGATACCCAACACAGAGAAGTCAAGATGGCCTGTCCCGAGTTTTAGCAGTGTAGGGAACAGAGAAAGGAAGCACAAGAATAGAGATCAGGCTTTTATCCTCACATACAATAGCATACCTACTGCGTGAGCCAGCAGGAGTGCAGGGATCCTGATGAGAAGAGAACCCTTATTGCAAGGACAGCTGCTACAGCAGAAGAGGGGTGAGGCTAAGGCTGTTTTGCCTCAGAGCTAGCAGCTGAATGCATGTGACAGACCCTCTTAGTTACTTCTCAACAGAAGAACTCCATTTCCAGCTCCCAGACAGAGTGCAGGCTTGCATCCCTCCTCCAGCCCTGCAAACATGTACAAGAGAAGTAGTGGATTCCTTGAAGCCCCTGTAGCACCCTCCTCTTTCCACAGAGCTCACACTAGCCAAGGCCCCTTATCCTTGGGTGGTTTCCAAGTTCATCATATAACAATGCACGTATTTGGAGGATTAAAAACAGACCTCCCCCCACCAGCCTTCAATCACATCAGGTTAGAAGTGGTAGGGGTGGCTTCAACTGCTGGGCCTGCAGCATCCCAATATTCTGCGTTTCTCTTTGTTAAAAGCATTTCTCCCTTCTTGTTGCGAGACAGCTCCCTGCACACATAGCCTGTGGTGGCTTGCACACCACACTGTGAGATACACCAAGACAATGGCTTCTCTCTTTTAGCCACAGGTCTTGAGAAATAACTCAAAGGATGCAGATAGGTGGGTTCCTCTTTATAGGCAAGCTGGTCACAGATGAAGGGAGCTAGTCCCCTTGCTGCCCAAGCTTGCAGTACCAACTAGAAGGGGAAGTAGGTAGGCAAGGCCAGGCTAGCTCCCCGCCCCCAGAAGGAGTACTCAGCGCATGGCTAAAGGAAGTGTAGGAGAGTCAAGGTGTGGATTCCTTTCTCTTGGCGGGTTCTCGCTCCATTTAGGAAAGAGAGGGACCATTTTATCAAAAGCTTGTTGCCGACATCAAACGTGCATCATGAACACACTGGAGCACTTGGACTCTACACATTTGACGCAAGCCAACTGCAACCCACTCAGCCCATTTTTTGTTGGGCAAGGTGAAAAATGCAGGAAATACAACTGACCTATGCACATCCAAAGTCATTAGCCAGGCCTAGAACAAGCAGCGTCCTGCCGTTTCAGCTTCTCAGCCCAGTTAAGGTTTGCTGGGTTGACAGGGCTGTAGCCCGAGGACGGGACTCTTTGGAGAGGCTGAACAGTGACAAGAAAGCAGGCTTTTTATACCTGATCCTCAGCTATCTACAGGAAAGCTTTACAGCTGGGAGGCTGGTCTCCACAGCCCACTCCATGCTTTAAAAGAGGGCACCAGCCACAGGTGACCACTTGCTTTAAGGAGAGAGAACAGCCCTTGGAATCAGAACAGCTGCACAAACCAAGGCTGGCTGTAACCTTTTCCTCACCTACAGGCCTGTAAGTTAGCTATTGGTAGCGAGAGCCTTTTTAAAATATTTAATCCCCAGAACTAAGGTAGTCTAGACACCATTGCTCCAACCATTGTCCTCTGCTCAAGACAGATGTAGGCGGGGGGGGGGGGGGTTTG